CTCGGGGGCTGACAGCCCAGTTGCCCCCGTCCCGTCTCCCGCTCAGGTTTGGGAAGTTGCTCCTGCTCCTGCCGTCTCTGAGGTTCGTCACGTCCGAGCGCGTTGAGCTCCTCTTTTTCCGCAAGACCATCGGGAACACGCCGATGGAGAAGCTCCTCTGTGATATGTTCAAAAACTAGTGGACGTGGAAGCGAAATGGGTGCGACCACTTGGGAAAAGTCTCCTGAAGCTAAGCGTTTGCCTGCCCTTCGACCCAGAGAGCCCAGTCGTAGGCGCGTGCGCCTGGCAGAAACGCCCGTCAGAGGATAGTGCACGCGTGTTCGTAGCAGCTTTTTTCCTAGTAGCCCAAACTGTACATTGCCCGTGGAATGGATTAGGAATTTGTGGCATATTCGTAAAACAGGAAACAGCAATAAAAAGGAATGAACCAGCAATACACGTGACAACGTGAATACATTCCACAGACATAAGTTCAAGAACAGGCAAGGCTAATGACGGTGGTCTAAGTGGGAATAGTGGGTTACCTCGGGTGGGGCGGGGGGTGGGGTGATCGGAAGGGGCCCCAGGGAGCCTTCAGGTGTGCTAGAAATGTTCTTTGTTTTGATCAGGGGGGTGGATTTGCAAATGTACTCATTCATAAAAGGGAACTGAGCCGTGCACTTACGATCTGTGCGCTTTACTGTATTATTACAACTCAATTTTTAAAAAAGGGGGAAAAACAAGAACAGGAAAACAAATGTGGCCAAGGTTCTCCTTTTTGAGGACACTGGAGCGGGGGAACACAGGGTCTTAAATTCCATCTGGTTTCCACTCCGGGCCAGAATCCAAGCCCAGCGAAGAATCTCTCAGAGGATTCAGCAACCCAGCTTCTCTCCAGATGGTGCCCCACCACCCCGAGGCTTCTCCCCCTCGTCTCCTCCTCATCCACCCTCGCCTCTGCACAGACAGAGGTGAGCACCACGCAGCTCCCCACGGGGCGGTCACAGGCACTTCGGGTGAAGGGGAACCTCCATCACGTCTTAATTCCTTGTGGAAGGGTGAAGCTCAGACAAACTCCATCCTTTTCAAAGACAGACCCAGAAGACCTAGAAAATAAAAATTTAGAAAGTTAACATATATCAGGCACTTTATATACCAGGCAGTGAGCTGAACTCTGAAGGTACGTTATTATTCAACTCTCAGATTAACTCTGGTGGAAGGACCAGTCATCCTTACTAGTAAATAAAAACCTGAGGCTTCGAGAGAACTCAGACCTCGGCATGACTCTAAACTCTGGCACTGCTTCCTCCCCATCCCCCTCTGCCCCTGGAATCAGCTGAACAATTCTGTTGCATTTTCTGTTTTCAAAGAAGAAATGCTTAATGCCAAGATATAATAAAGGTCACATGAGAAATCTGTGAAAATCTGGGGACTCCCTGGCCTTTAGCCTGTGTGTGAATTCTTCTAGTTAGCCAGAGATGTCCTGCCTCCATGGAGGAAGGATGGTTCTGAACACTCTGCTCTGGAAATGACAGTAGCGAGGCTGGTGCCCGGACAGGAGAGTATGGCAAATACCGCCCAGCCTGAGCCCTTCCCACTGAAGCCCTCAAACTACTCGATCTTCTAAAAGCATCAGACTTGCCTGGGTTGTTCGGGTCATTTAATGTCAATAACGCCATTACACTTTCCAGTTCCCTCTCAGAAGTTTTATCCATAAGGCTCAAAGGCCCACGTACAGAAAGCTTGAGCAAGGCAGGTTGGCAAGAGACATGGCTGCAGTAGGACCAGATGGGCCCTGAACGTTTTCCTTGCCGTCTTGCTTTTGGGAACGTGACACTGCAGAGGCCGCCCGCTCAAGTTCACAGGCTGCCGCCTGGGCCGTGAGCACGGCAGACTGACCTCGGGAAAGAGACTGGGGTCTCCAGCAAGAAATCTTGGGGAAATCAGAGGAGGTGCAAAGCTTGAATTATCTGCTGCTGACCTGGCGTCCATACCACCGCTCCCCCCGACCCCAAGCCCCCCCGAACGTCCTGTCTTCATTGCAGAGATGCCAGGAAGTACGTTTCCCAGCACCCCCTTCCCCCAGGGCTTGCTAGTGGAAGGCAGGCACTCACGTGCGATGTGCCAGGCAAATGAAGAGCCACCGTTTTCTGGAGGCAGCTACAGCCAGGTGTGTGGGAAGACCGAGGCGTCACAGCAGCTGTCTTGAGAACTGCAGTCACTTACAGGCAAGCTCTTGAGAACTTCAGAAATTTTGCTTCAGATCAGCTGGCCTCTCGGCCTCCGGTGGGCGTTTTCTCTGACGTGTTTCCCCAGTTCTTCCAATGTTTATGCTAAGCCCCTAATTCCTAAATTAAGTCCTTCTCACCTAAAATAAACTAAGTGGCTTTTGTTTTCCTAGTAACAGATCTCAGCTGATCCCAGGATTTATTCAACTTTTTGCTGTAAACTGGCCCCACTGCAATTCAGATGCGTAACAGCTCTCTGCCACCGCATTTGGGGCCCTTGCTAGGAAAGGGGTTGCTATGAACTCTTTTCTGCCCTCAGTGCCAAGCATGTCTTTGCTGTGAGGCACAGGGAGGCAGTCCCTGTGTGGGCCTTTCTTTGCAACTGCAGCCTGCAGATTCGTGAGCCACTTCTCCTCCTCCACCCTTAAAGGAATATTTAAAGGTAGGAAGGGCAGAAAGACTCAAAGATACCATGAAGCACCCATGCAGATCAGTAAATATAACCTGATCATGCAGCCCAGACACCGTGGATAACTAGTCTCCATCTGGTGGACACCACTGGTCTTCCTCGAAAAGATGCAAGCTCCGCGGGGGCAGGGGCTCTGTTCTGCTCACCGTAGACCCTGGCCACCCAGGAGGACAGGGCCTCTGGGGGCTCAGGCAGTGTCTGCTGAATGAGTGCATAAATGGCCACACAGAACAGGGAAGTGACATACTCCTCAGAATCCAAGATGCCTTAGAAGACTCAACAGATATTTTATGTGTCTTGCCCACGTCCGTGGTCAGGTCCGGGCTCTCAGACACCGTACCGCCGCCCAGCCTAGGGGAGGGAACCACCTTCACAAAGGCAGAGCTCTGGTCTGCAACTCCTTACACCTTCCTGCTCTTCTGCTCATAATCACAAAGGTTTGTTGTGGATTCAGTAATCACAGGGGTAACTTTTAAAAATGGCATTTCTAGGTCTTATTTAACCAGTGAAGGAAATCTTAAGAACCAATCCGCTATCCTTATCATTTTGTTGTAACATAAATTTAATGCAAAAAATGTAAGTATAAATTTAACGTAAAAAGAAATGGGAAAGATGATCTCAGAATTTTAAAAACTGAGTAACTTTGACATTAGGGAAAAATTCACGACACTGTTTCTCAGTTCCACCTGGGACCTGGTCTGGCACCGGGGGGCCCCGACCTCATTCAGTCCTCTCGTCCAGCATGCAAGTGGGGACCCCTCTGGTACATGAACCAAGGATCTAAAAGCAAGACAGGCCCATGTCGTGCCTTGGGAACCTCACATCAAACAGGTGTTTGATGCCGCAGATACAGGGAGCTGTTAAGAACACAAGACAGCTCAGCCGGCTCAAGGGGGAAGAGGGGATTTCCAAGGAGAACTGCCTTTTACATCGAGACCTGAAAGTCAGGAGTTACCCAGAGAAGCGAAGCTGGGGCAGAGAACACGCTCCAGACAGTGAGGGCCTGTGACTCGCCTGAAGTCAGGCAGCGAGCGGCACAACGGAAAGGGCCCGCGGGCCCTCTGGCGGCCGACACCACTACCTGTCTAGGGCCTTTCTGGTGAAGATCTGAAATGCAGATTTAGTGCCTTCCCTGCCCACCCACCTCGAAATCGATTAAATGAAGCCTTCACAGCTTAGCACCCATTACAGAAAACTCACAGCTTGAGTGTCACCTTCACCTTCATTCTGTTGAGCTCCAGTAGTTACCACCTCTGTGCTTTGTCAACCTGGGGCTCAGTGCTTTCCTTAAAACAAGAAACAAACAAACAAAAAACAAACCAAAAAACCCCAGTTTAACAAAAATCATCGCTGTTCCTTGGGCTCAGGCTGGAATGAGCTGGAGTGGGAAAGAAACAAGCCACACGCAGTGCTGCTCTGGAAGCTTCGTTCTTTAATGAGCCGCGGAGGGATGCGCTCGTCAGGCCGCTCCTGTGCAGCCGTACAGTGCGTACTTTGAGTGACACAAACTGCACTTCATACAAATGACGTCTCCCCCCTCAAAGAAAAAAAGCCAAAGGAAATTACAAAGTGCCTGCTGATCGCATCAGGAGTGTAGTCAGTTCTGTGGGTGAGACAAGCCGTTCTTCTTATAGAATTATTCTGTTAAACAGTAAAATGATATTATATTTCACAGGATATGTCCTCTTATAATACATAGTCTTTAAAAAATTTACACTCAGCATACTTATAAATTACTTTAAATCCATTAAAATAATATAATACTAATCTGTAGTCTACACCTTTCCCCGAGTAAATACAATTACTTGGTTCAAAAGGTGACCTAACAGGGTTGATAAATAGGCGTTAAGTATGGATGGACAGCAAAGTGACAGACCCCTTGGTGGGGCTTTTCTGGAAAGTTTCAACCAAGACAGACAGGACCTAATAGGTCCACCTCCACAATCATCACTTTGCCGTTTACACCAAATCCAGCGTGGGAGCAGTCCCAGAGAAAGTGGTTAACAGTCACCGAGGGGCATCGAAAGGCAGAGGACTCCCACCGACACCAGGGCACTTCACTACCCAGGCCAGCACGGCCCTGGGGCTGGCGCTGAGGAGCTGTCACATGTCAGCCAGCCCAGAAGGACGTCCATCTCCCCACCAAGGTGGGGAAAGAGGGAAGGGGGACGGATGAGGAAAGCTGTCAGATTGTTTCTTTTTAAAATTAAAACTCTCTCAGCTTTGAACACATCCTGAGAATACTTTCTTCTCTACAGTTCACCAAAGTGCTTGTGAAAGGTACACATTCACTAGTTATAGTTCAAAAGCCACGGCCCGCAGACACCGAGTGGGCCTGCAGGACCTTGCTGGGCCTCCTCTTTCCAGCCCGCTGCTGGGACCCTCTGTTTCTGACAGTGAAAACCACCCGACTGTGATGGAAGGCAGACGTCCCCACTGCCCTCCCAGCAAGGGAAGAGCTGTAGCTGGATCCAAAGGATGGTGTCCCATCCCCGGACCCCAGGCCCCTCCGTCTCTCCTGTGTGTTCAGAAGCCCAGAGTGGCTAAAAAATTAAAATGGCAGAAGCACAAAGTGCATTACAAACTAAGGACGTCACCTTCCTGAATCCTTGGTGTATTGGCTTTACTTTATGATACACA